ACACCATCTATTTATTTCATCACCACATGAAAAAATATACATGGGTCTAAATATAGCTTGGACACAAATTTATGCTTTTTTGTAAACGAATATATGTTTCATTCATATAAGACTAAATACTAAACAGGGAACCACTTGATCGCTATACAAAAAAAAAAGTAAAACTAATATTTAATTAAGCACACAATACTTGTAATAAACAAATAAAGAAAATACTGATTTAAAAACACCAAAAAAACTAACCTTTGATGACACTTTGGTGCAGCTTTTTCTGCACCCAGTTAAAGATCTTCGGGAAAAAATTCAAGAAAACAATAAAGTTTAATATAATTTCGAACTATATAGAGGGAAAATTCATACAAGTAAAAGGAATTAACTTCGAAATTACGTACCGTCATAGTTTTTTTTTTTCTATTTCCTCTTATCAGTAGAGAGAGTGAAGCAAATGTCTCAAAGCAAAAGAATAGTGTGAAATGAGAAATTTATTAAGACACTAAATCAACTTGAGTGTGTTTAAGATACTGACACGTGTCGAATGTAGAAAGTGGGTTAGATAGGTCTGACTTTTGGGAGGCAAAGCCAAATGAGTAAGTGCCACATTTATCTGGTCGTCACAGTATTCTTTGTCCCCCTCCCTCGATTATTAAGAATTTTTCTTTTTATCCGATTTCTTAGAGGTATCTCAATGACATAGTCTTATAAGAACACTCTTAATGAGAATATCTAATATGGTATCTAACCATTAAAAAAATAAAAAGTAATAAAAAAGAAAGAGTGAGAGATGAAATTCTTTAAGAAGAACTCATTCTCAATATTTAAGAAACTCTCACGCATATTTGACATTCATTTCTTAGTTGTATCATTTTTAATAATTTAATATTTAAATAAATAAGTTACTTAAATGAAATTTATTAAAATAACATAGTTTAGAGATTCAATAGGTTTTTTTACCATTGGAGGTGCTCTAAGTTTCTTACTAATATAATAATGTTAGTTTTAATACAGTTTAATTGAGTTATGGATTTTATATTAGAAAAATAAAATTGAGCCAATAAAATAGAGACAAGTGTATTTTGAGTTTTTTAAAGGATCTTTCATTTGAGAGGTTTTGACTATGAGTCTCTCATTATCTTTTACTTTTTCATGTTTTTATTGTTATTTTAATGTGAGTATCTTATTGAGATACCCTATTAGACATACTATTAATATAATATTTCTTCTGTTTGATAATATTTGTCATTCTAGATTATTTTATGTAGATTAAGATTTATGTTTTATCCCTAATTAATGCATTGTTTTATTTGGTATGCGTATTTAATAAAAAATGACAAATAATATAAAACAAAAAATTAAATGTAGAATGACAACTAATATAAAATGGAGGGAATATCAAATTTTGAGCAGATTAATAATATAATCATTCTCATTCTTTGTTTTGACTCGTTGATATCTTGCTGGTAGACTTCTGTTGCTTTCAATGCCTTGTGTCATTTGATTTGACACTGAAATAACAATTCGTTGCACTAAAGCGATAGTTTTTGGTTTCAATCAATTTTAAGTTTACACACAATTTCAATAATTCTTATTCAGAAGCTTTGGATTCTCTTAAGAAGGACCAAATATAGTTGAACCAATGCAGTCACTC